CTCCAACGAGCTACCTTGTGACTTGTCAGCCTATAGTTCCTCCGTAAGTATTGACCATGGTAGTGATCATTCAGCTTTAGCTACTTCCCATAATGGATTTGGTGGTTCCCAGGGAGATTGAAGTGGTCATGGCAACTGAGGTGGATCTGGTGGCTCTCGTGGAAGTCATGGGGGTAGAGGTGGCCAACTGGCCGCGCAAGTGCACTCATTTTTGGTCAAAACCATCACACTGTGGATTATTGTTGGGACTTGAAAGGAAAACAATCTATCTTGGCTCACCGGGCTTCTTATCACGAAAATGTTCCTCCCTTTGTTCCTTCTTGTGGGCCAACTCAGCCTCAGGCTTATGATCTTATTGTTGTTTCTTGGGATGAATATAAACAGTTCCTGTCACACAAACAAACCATGTCTTCTTCCGCTTCTACTTCTGCTTAGTTAGGTACTACATCTACGTGTTTACTATCTTCCACTTCGAGCCCATGGATCATTGATTATAGAGTTTCTGATCATATAACCAGCGCGTATGGCTCTTTATCTAATTTTCACCATGTAGCTCCATCCTGGAGTGTTACTCTTCCTAATGATTCATCCACAAAGCTTTCAAGTTTGGGCACTGCACCACTTAGTCCCTCATTATCCTTGTCTTTTGTTTCATTTGTTCCTCAGTTTTCCCTTAGTCTCTTATCTATTAGTAAGATCACTCGCTCTTTTAACTATTCAGTCACATTTATCCTTCGATTTGTCTTTCAAAATGTCAAGATGAAGAAGAAGATTAGTACGGGGCATGAATCAGGTGGTCTTTATTACTTTGACTTCGAGCTTCCTCCCAAAACACTCCAGACCTCATTGTCCCCCCAGCAATGGCATGGTCATCAGGACATCCATCCCTTCCAATTTTAAAGTCTCAAGTTTCTAGTCTTAGTTATGCGTCGTCATTGTCTTATGAAGCATGTCCACTTAGTAAACACCATCATATGTCGTTTAAGCCTAAGATTGATAACTATGTCTACTTCTTTTGAATTAGTTCACTCTCATGTATGGATCCCCCATAACTGTTTTGCAGCGGGTTAGATTCGATATTTTGTGACATTTGTGGATGATCATTCTCGTATAACTTGATTATTTTCAATGAAATCTCATTCTGAATTATTTTTTATCTTTTAATTGTTTCGTAAGCAAATTATGAAATAATTTGGCTGCAATATTCGTATTTTACGGTCTGATAATCCCAAGGAATACACTTCCCATCCCTTTTAGGCTTATTTTGCTCGCAAAAGCATTATACATCACACTTCATATGTTCACACACCAAAACAAAATGGTGTAGCTGAGTGCAAGAATCGTCATTTATTAGATGTGACTCAAGCCCACATATTTCATATGCATGTTCCTAGCCAATTTTTAGGTGATGTGGTCTTAACCACATGTTATTTTATTAATCGAATGTCCTCCACTGTCTTACATGGAAAGTATCCTCACTCCGTCTTGTTCCCTAATTCTCCATTGTCTTCCTTTCCTCCTAAAGTGTTTGGATGTGTTTCCTATGTCCTCAATCTTGATCTTAGTTTTGATAAACTTGACCCCCGAGCTACTAAGTATTTTTTTCTTGGTTACTATTGTATACAAAAGGGTTACCGTTGTTATAGTCCTACTCTTCGTCGATATTTCACCAATGTGGATATCACCTTTTGCGAGTCTACACCATATTTTTTTGCTCCTTTTGTTCCTTTTGAGGGTTCCATTGAAATCCACGGATCAGACCAACCTCCAGTTGATGGCAAATTAAAGGCAAAATTAGGAACGAACAAACCATCAGTTAATGGCAAGGACTAAGTAGGACTGAGATCGTCAATCCCCTATACTGGTCGAAAAGAACTATCAGCTAACACAATACGTGAGTTTGACGCACAAAAATTAGAGTAAGGATGACATATCAGACATATGAGCACCAGCACCAGAATCAATGATCCAAGAAGATGAAGTAGGCTGAGTCACAATGCATGATGTGGTGCCTTCATTAGCAGCATTGGTAGTAGCAGCAGAGAAACTTGAAGAAAGTGAAGACAACTTGTGAATGAGTTGTGTAAGCTAAGAACCAGAAGCACCTGGACCACCACATCCACTATATCCTATGGATGGACCTCCACGACCAACATTATTGGGCGAATCACAACCACCATTCCAAAACGCCATTAAGAAATCCACTGATGAATTATAACTCAACAAAATACCTTAAATTCAATCAACACAAATTCAAGGGGACAAATTAAGGCAAAATTGTGACAAACAACCAGAACACAAACCACATAGCCAAAGTGCCTAGGCACGAGAAAACCAACTATCGAAGTGCCTGGGCACCAGAAAACCAATTGCCCAAGTGAAGATAATACATGAGCACACCTTAAACAAACATAGAAGCCAAAAATAATGAAAAAACAAAAAATTTGGAACAGTCTCATCACTATCTAGTGGATGAAAATAGTGGTCGAATGGCCAGTAAAAGGCAAAAAACACACCTTGACCGCCCTAAAAGGGTTGGGCATCACAGGGAACCATGTTGAAGCTCTAGTCGGCACCCTAGGACTATGCTTCAAGCAACAAATTAGGGAGAATGGCCTCAAATCTGCAGATCAGAAAAGTAGTTCCATTTTTTTCACAAATAGTTCAAAAATAGAAAAACCAACTCAGACGCCTCAAAAAATTTTGAAAAAATCACCACAATTACTATGGCAAAATTTCGAGTTGGATCATAATTGAAGTCGCCAAAATTGTTGACGTCACTTTTCCGACAATGACATCATTTTTCGACTAACTTTTAGACGATTACATTAGTACAAGGATATAATCCTGACTGTTTGTACTATGTTGTTCTTGCAATTATTTGCTAAAAAGAGAAAAAAAATTTCTCTGATACCAAGTTAAAAGGAAAAAGTAGATACTAGGGTTTATGAAAGAGAAAAAGGGAGGTAGAGATTGAAAGAAATAATCAGCTATGTAGGCTATATTACCCTACACTCTTATTTATAGTAAACTAACATTAGAAAAATTATATTACCCTACACAACTAATAGTATAAATAAGAACTCAACAACCTAAAACTCCACTTAAATTGTTTTGTGACAATCGACCGACTATTTATATAACTTCAAATACTGTATTTGTTAAATAACTTAAATTTAAGGATCAACTTGCTCATATGTTTACCAAATCCTTCAGTAATACTCAGTTGAGATATATATGTTTCAAGCTGGGATTATATAATGTATATTCGTTAGTGTAAGGGGGAGTTTTAGAACATATAGGAAATCGCATTCTTGTAATAAGAATATACCTCAAGGGGTATATGCATCTTTTACATAGATTTGGATACATATAAATATATTGGTGAGAGAGACATGAGTCATACTACCAGCCTTTTCTATTCCTCTTCTCTCTAAAACCTACTTTCCTATTTTCACATGGTATCATAACATCGTTAATTGGTTCGCTCAAATTCTCTTCTTGTCCCTTTCTCTATTCTTTCTTTCTTTTTTGTTTTCTTCTCTTCTTTTTTGGCTGAGATCTATATGTGTTGAGTTTTGAGATCTATTGAGGAGTTGTTGATGGCTAGGTGTTTAGTTTCCTAGCCTAGTCGTTGTTCGTTGCCAGCAGAATTATTATTCGTGTTTTGCTATTGCACAAAAGATAGAATCGAGCCATTGATTGTGACCCGTATGTTATACGCATCCTTACCTCTGAAGCTAGGGAGTCTGTTTTTGATACTCAGACCTTGACACCCATCTTACAATGTTCCCTTCTTTGAAATTGAAAAAAAAAAATTATGAAATGGTCTAAATTCACCACCTTGGCCTGGGCTACGGGCGGGCTCACCTCGGATACCCTACTCTGGAGTGAACGATGACCCAAGGAAAGGAGAGGCCAAGCTAAAGGAGCCTTATGAGGAAACCAAGCTTTCTAGAACCCTTTGCCACATAACGACATAGAAGGGAAATCAAAGGCAGTCCCAAGGATGATAATCATACCCCTGATGGTTTCCAGATAGAGTCTACACCAGAATAAGGGTCACTCAAAAAACCAACCAAGTCCACCTAAACGACCAGCTAACCTCCTGACACACCCCTTGGCAATTTATCATTCTTCATTACAAGATCAACCCAACATAATTTAAGGACTACATCGATAATTCGAAATGAGGCCCTTTTATTTCTCAATATTAATGACAATTTTTTTTTTGACTGCATATCCTACTCAATTGAGAGTATGACTAATCCCCTTAATGTTTCTTGTGATATAGTCGATCTAAGATAGGATCTTATCAATTTTAATCGAAAAAACTCTTTCAACAGAAGCAATATTTACAGATAGTGTCAATAATATGTTGTAAGCAATACATTTATAAAAAGAATACAGATTTTTTTTTATACAGTCTGGTACTTCAATTAAGGTGTTTTCCTTTGTTCATAAGATCTCTTTTAAAAAATCTAACTATAAAAGTAAAGGCATCAATACCCAAATAAAATGTCATATTTCAGGAAACGTTCGAGATCAATACATTACCTTTTCAACATATCATTTTTACCTAGAAAAAATCATAAAAAAGGTTTGGTTTGGGCTTGCTAATTTTCTTTGCTGTGATTAGACTTTTATGGGACTTATCTGTGAGACTTGAACTAAATTTCTGATCTGAACAATATTATGGGGATATATATGAAATATGGCTCCTTGTTTGTAGGGGAGCCTAAAGCCATTACTTTAATGTCTATATAATTGAGCCGGCCCTTTCCTTTGGTTGACAGGGTGGTAATCCACCCCACTCGAAGTGCCATCACCACAGTTAAAGCCACACTCCCTGACTTCCACGTCAAGACGACTATAAGTACGTCTCATTTACTTGCATGAACAACTTAATATAATTGGAAGTATTGACGAGATAAGAAATATAGATTATGAAGAATCTTGCAGATATCTCAAGTCAAATTAAAATAAAAATGGGTGATTAAATGGTGTTAGATAGACCTCTCGATCTCGCCGTAAAGCTGAATTCCAGTTCTTTCAGGTCGATTGCTGCCGTTGTCATCACTGGAGTTGCAATAGACTCTATTGCAGTAGCTGGTATTACGATTTCTAACAACAGCGTGGCAATGATGATGAAAGCGAAAGTCATGGAAGGGGGTTCGTCTCTGGAATAAATTAGAGTTGGAGCATCGGGAAGCAACCTGCACATGCGGCGTCCACAGCCAACTACCCATATCCCTAGTATGTGAGACCGTCACCTGGCCTGATTTGGTCACTCTCCTCGTCTGTCTCTGCGTATTGGGTTTCTGGGTCTTTCGGGTAAGTGTACATGAGTTTCGATTTGCTCCTCTTTCTGTTTTTCTTTTTTTCTTTTTTTCGACGTATCAGTGTTTGACTTTTCTTTTCTTAGGGCCTATCTCAACCTAAGACAGACTAAATTGGTGCAAATTGAGATGTTCCCCGTTGAGTAAGATCCAAAAAAAATCTTATTTTGGGCATCAAAAAAATTCAAATTTTTACTCATATTTAAGTAAAAATAAAAATTTTTAATTTGGTATAAATTGTTCCTACGAAGAAACTCAAATTTAAATAAAAATAATATAAATTTAAAAAAAAAAAAATATATGATCATTAAATTTTTAAAGAAATGTAAAATCTCACAGAAAAGATTTAGATATAGATTTTAATCTCATTTGATTTAATATGAGTAAACATCTAGCATTGGAGAATATTTTTAGGAGATTTTTATCTAAATTTAAATTTAAGTTTAAAAAAGGATAAAAATTGGAGATACTCTTACACTGATTATGTCAATGAAACTTCTAAACAATTTTTGGTGTCAATTTAGTCTTTAAACTATGCAATTGACTCAATACAGTCTTTTTATCAAAATTCGTCGATAACTTTGACAAAAATGATTACTTACACATCACATGGGATAAAGATATAATATGGTTCAAGGCCACATGATGTATACGTGAGAGTTTTTGTTCAACTTAATAGTGAATTTGAACGAAATGATCATATTGAGTCAGTTCAAAGAGGACAAAATTAACGGACTTCATTCAGACAAACAGTATAACTAAGGAGCCCAGTAAATAATTAATTCTTTTTTTAACTGGTTATCACATATTACATAGCCTATAAACTTTTCACTTCAGGTAAGGTGGAGGATTTGTTGTCTAAAAACACAACTTAGTAATACAAGAATGTAAATCTAAGCTCATTTTCTCTCTCACTGGTCGGCTCTTGCAGCTGGAGAAGCTTACTTTTCAGCTATGGCGGAAATCGATAGCGGGAAAACCCTAAGCCTCCACGAGCAATATCTACTGAAAGGGAAAGAAAACGAAGAGAAGCTCGTTCTGGGTCCAAAACCTGCGGAAGAAGAGGTTAAGAACCCTGTAAGTGCTGCCTCTGACGAAGTTGTCGCTCAGAAAACTGAGGAAATCCCTGTTTCTGTTGAAAGTAGTGAAGTTTCCCAGGCTGGTGCTGCTGAGGAAGGCAGTGAAGCCTCTGATGTTGATACTGGAAAGAGCACTGAAAATGCTGGTGAAAGTGTAGTGGAGCCAACCCAGCTGCAGAAGAAAGCGGGGGAAGTACTGACCAGGAAACTCCGGTTGATCAAGAAGAGTCTGAACTATCTACAGAGATCAAGCTCGAGACAGCACCAGCAGACTTTCGTTTCCCAACTACAAATCAGACCAGGCATTGTTTTACCCGATACGTTGAGTATCATCGATGTGTAGTTGCTAAGGGTGAAGGTGCTCCTGAGTGTGACAAATTTGCCAAATATTATCGTTCTCTCTGCCCTGGGGAATGGATAGATAGATGGAATGAGCAAAGGGAAAATGGCTCATTTCCTGGTCCCTTGTAGATGGTGCCTGCTGGCATAGGATCATCCCTTGAGTGCAAACTGCTTCTGAATACACGGATGAATAGAGAAAGTATTTTAAACTGCTGATTAATAAAAATGTTGACTAGTCTGTTGAAACTAGTTCAAGTCCAAACCCATATTGCCTCTCCTACAACGAAGTTGTCATTTAATCATATTCTTGACGGAACTTTCTTTCCATCATTTTCTATGCTTTGATTGTTTTGTAACAGTAATGAGTCATCGGGTGGAACCCTGCAAGACAATTACACAGGGACCTCAATTTTCTATACATCACATAATAAGGATTATAGCTAAAAAAAAAATAGTAATACAAGAATGATCTAAAAGGATATACCCATCTTGTCAATGGACTTATCCAAATTATTTTGGATCGTCAAAATTAGGCATGTCTTTAAATCAAATGTATCCATATTCATATAACGATTTTTATACTAATTTTCATTTATGTAAGATAACCCTCCTCATTGATTGTATAAAAAGATAGACATTAAAGACAATGAGAGAGACCAAGTTATATCACTTTTTACCAATGAGCCTTTGTTCCAATAGTACTTTTTATCTCGTAAAAATTTTGTCTTCTTGAGGTCAAGGATTCAAGTCCCCCTCTCCTTTACCCTTCCCCCCCCCCCCCCCCCAAATAAAATATCACTTTTTACATTATGTTTGAGCATAAAATATAAAAGTTCAGTAATATTCAATGTATTGATACCTGACATTTTAAATTTATTGAGGAAGTGTCACATGGCATAAGTAGAAAAAATGTAGAAGAACCACATTTGAAAAGAATGAGGTAATCAATTGGGAGTTATCATTAGATAATCGTCGATGGAGGGGAAATTGTCAATGGAGATGGCTATAAAAAGAGCATTCAATAAAGAAGAGAACATATGTCAATCCCTCCCCCCAAAAAAAAAATAATACCAATAATTTGGACATTATTAGAGTAGTTTTTAGGCTATTTTAGGAGCAATTAGTATTATAACTAAGGTTGTTTCATTGAGTCTTTTGTAATTGAAATCCTTTCAATTGGATTAATAAAAGAATTATCTTTTATTAGTTCTCTTTTTTTATTTTGTCTTCACATAGTGAGAATCGTCATCGTTTTTGTTAGATTATATTTGTAATTGTTAATTTCATGGAGTTCATTGTAAATTTCAACATATTCCATGGTCATGATACTATCAAGTTCCAAGTCCAAAAACATCATTGAAGAAAGGATATCAAGCATCAAAGCAATATCATTCAACCTCTGTATGCACCTACACACTTAGAACAAGGTAATGACCTAGACACCTAAGATGAACCCTTAGTTATTTCTAACTTCGATTGATTATGATGTAAATAGAATTGGAAGCAATTTGACTATGATTTCTACGTGATTTAAAAAAAAATTCTAAATTATTTATTGAATTTTGAAAACATAATTTGAGTCAAAAATCGGACCTCTCTTTGAGCAACATCCTTTAGTGCTCAAGAGGACAAGTTTTTACATGGATTATGCTTAAAAATCTGTAGGGACCGATCTATACTTGCTAGCCTTCACTAGAACTGTCTCTTTATAACTTAGGGAAGAAAATGAAAAAAGACCCCAAAAGGCAAACAAGGCTCGCTCTATGAGCTCGTTTGAGCGGTCCTTCATAGTCGCTCGATTGGAGCTCATGATCACTTAAGTAGTGCTTCCCTTAGTCGAGATTAAAATGTGATTTTCATTCCAGCGACAATCACCCTATGACTGTCCTCCCATCGATCGGGTGGTCATTCACGAATCTGAGTTTTCTTTTTTATTAAGACTACCTTATTTTGGACTTATAAATAGAGAGAATTTTTCTCACACCTAGATTAAGCCTCTTGTGAGATTTCTAAAAGAGAAAATTATCTTTCTACCTTGTGTGCTTCCACGACAACCTAGATCCCTAAGATCCAAAAGGCCACTACTAGAGATTCTACCCAACCTTATAACTTGGAGAAGAAGATCTTGATAGTTTGATAAACCTATTGATGTGTGCATATCGAGGATCATTAGCCTGCTCATGACTGCTCGAAGCCTAGACGGACCGTACAGTGGGGAAGTCCAAGGGAAGCTATACTAGACGTTGAATGAGGGCCTTCGAGAGAGAGGCAGTAAGAAAAAGAGCATCTAACCATGGTATTAGTTAAAGTATAAGACTCAAGTACTTGTATGTTGACTTAGAGACTAATACATTAGGCTTTGGTGAATCGAGAAAGTTTCCCAAAATTTTTCTTTATGAGGGTTTTTTCTCGTCAACAAATCACTTGGGTTATGTACTATTTATCGTATACACATGTGATTATTTGCACATACGCGCACTATGTGTTTGATATTTTGATTATTTGAATATTCATTCAACCATATTGTGCAATTAGCTTTGGATTTTGAGATCAATGTGAGATTGATTACAAGTGAATTAATTTAATCAATCGCTATGGTAAAAGTGAGTTATGGTGACAAAAATGGTTCTCACATTAATTGTTATATCTTTATAAGGCGAGGTAATTATGGTGGTTTAGGTTTTAATTGAAAATCAATTAGACTAAAATTGAAAAACATATTCACCCCTGCTCTAGGTAAAGTGTCTATTGCTCCATGTGTATAATCGTGAGGGAAGATCCACATCGGTTCCTCCTCCTAGAACAATAATTGGTATCAGATAGCGGTTGCCATGATTACATAGACACTAAGTGTGCATTGTTTGTTTTTGTGTATTTGCCTAGTTATTTGCCTTCAAGAGATCTATCATTACTACTAGTTAGTTTTGAATGGATTCTCAAAATGAAGGTGGTTCAATTGCACAACCTCCTCTCTTTGATGGTTTTAATTTTACCTATTGGAAAGCTCGCATGAGAGTGTTTTTTTTTAAAAAATCGAACAATGAGAAAGTTTGATTGACTTTGCAAGAGGGTTAGAGCCCTCCCACTGCCACCACGCAAGTTGAAGGTGGTGATTGAATTGAAATTCCTAACGAGTTGGTCAAGAATTGAGATCAAATTGGTGAGGTGAAACTGAAAGGCTTGAATATGATATTCAATGTCATGACACCCAATAAGTTCCAATGGATCGCAAATTATGAGACTTCAAAGAAGGTGTAAGACCCTGTACTAAAATTAAATAAAAATACTAATATCATTGTCAGGAGTTCATGACGTGTTCCACGTTTCGATGTTGACGAAATGTCAACCAGATACGTCGCATGTCGTGGATTTGGAGGATATTGAAGTGCAAGATGGAGTCACCTATGAAGAGCAGCCGGTGAAGATTCTTGATATCCAGGAGAAAGTGCTTCGCAACAAGGTAATCCAGCTGGTGAAAGTCCTGTGGCAACATCATGGCGTAGAGGAAGCAACTTGGGAACCGGAGTGGGAGATGCGAGAGAAATATCCATATTTGTTCGCTACTTGAGGTAAGTTTCGAGGACGAAACTTTCTTTAAGGGGGGTGGATTGTAAGACCCTGTACTAAAATTAAATAAGAATACTAATATCTTAAGAGTTTTCCAAATATGAATAAAATGAGGATAAAAACTTAGAATCATTGTTGAAATATTAATCATGAAGTTTGAGTTTCGAACGGATTGACTTTTGGGTCAAACTTAATTTTTTTTTTTGGATGTGTTTAAGATTGATAAGGGTAACTAAATAAATATATTAATTTTTTTTTTTCAAAATAACATTACCATTGAATTCGGGAGGTCGGAAAACATTGGGAGAGGTAATATGGGATGTATTAGAAGTTAGGAAGTATTTTAGAAGTAAAACCAAATTGGAGTGAAATTGGGTAAAAAGGGGTGATAGACACTGCTTAGTATTTTGATCATAACTTTATATTTTGATGTCCAATTGTTCTGAAATTTTGACAGGAAATATTAGACATCTAGGGCTATAAAAGTGTATTTCATGAAAAATTTCCAATTCGACCTCGAAATGGGTCAAAACTGACCTGGAAGTCGCACCAAAAATCTGTGAACAGTACGAAGGAAACCCGATTTTTTCTGAACAGAAAATATCGGGTTTTGCTCGATTTTCTTGCCCTATAAAAACCTAATGTCGTCCCTTTAGCATTCATTTCACCCCTCCAAACCCTAGGAACCATTTTAGAGGAAGAGAGGAAGATAGAAATACCAATCAAGAGGGATTTATACCTTGTAGAAATCAAAACTTCAAATTCTTCAAGAATACATTCTCCTCCCATTTTCTTCCATTCTTGCTACCCTCTCACCCAAATCTTTTGAAACCCTAGGAGGAGAAGATTAAGAGGAAAAGAAAGGAGAGCAAGAAGGTCTTGAAGCTTGGGTCTTAGCTTGGAATCTTGATTTAAGGTAGGGGATTTTCTCTCAATCTCTCACATTGAGGCTAGATATATATATATAGATATATATATGTATATAGATATATGTTTCTTCACTCTCCTTCTCATATATATAATATGAAATACATGATTCTTGTTCTATTTGTAATAAATGTCATGTTTTGAACAATATGAAGGGTGGGTAACCACCAAAGCTCTATTGATTTTTTTTTTTTTTTTTTCAAAGCCCTAGTTTTCAAGAAAAGGGGATTTTCTCCTAATTTCTTCTTTGTCTTTGATTTTAAAACTTTAGTGTTGAATATTGTATAACACAATGATATAGATTACGATCTCTTGCATATTTTCTTGGATTATTCGATTATATGACAAATGTGAAAACAAAATTGGGGATTTTACTATATTTGGGAAATTGTTGTGAATTGTGAATATTCTTGATTTCCTCATTGTATGGTTGTTGTGATGGACTTGGATTACCTTCGAGAGATGCCGTAGAGTGTTAGAGGTTAGTCTATCCCAATGGGGGGTGAGATGGTTGCCTAATGCTCGTAGTGGATCGTTGTTGTGCTCGCGATCACTATTGTTCACATATACACCGAGGAAAAGGGTTAGTATACTAGACACCTTGGGAGGATTTCGTCAATGCCGTAGGAGACGGT